AGGCCAACCTTGCAGTCAGAATTTTCTGAGCAGTGATCCCTGTAAACAAATCCAACAGTATGTTGTTGAGTGTTTTCACTCAGCCAGGTACTGGAGACATGGCCGCATGTGGGGTATGGTCTTTGCCTGGGAGGCGTGGCACCCCAAGAAGGGGGCCCCCCACCCTGTGGAGTTGGTGGAAGAGTCTGATGGTAGTGTCTTAGCAGTGCTGGGAGAATAATGCACAGGGACAAATTAAATCTCCTTGGGGGAGGGGAGCCAGTCAGTCCTCCAGGGAGGAAGTGATTTTCAAGTTGCCATGGGGGATGGCAAAGCCAAGAGCCTAATTATACCACTGCGGAAATGCACCATGCAGGGGCCTGTCCTGGCGCCATCTTGGACATGCCCACTCTAAGATGGTGGCCCCTCTACCTTCACGGAGGTGGGGGGATCACATTTGTGGTACCACCCCAGCCTCTGGCTCCGCTCTCTTATCACAGAAAGGCATTTCATTCTTCGCGATCAGGCGGCCAGGGCCCAAGGAGCTGTTTTTCCTCCATTGTGCAAGCATGACAAATCATTAATTTTTGATTGATTTGCTTAGAATTATGGGCGCCCCAGCATTCTTCCCGCCACTGAACAGCTGTATAACAAATGAATATATCACAGTGCACAAAAGATTGGAGATCTAAGAGAAGCAATTACATTGGCCACCCTCCCCCTCCCCCACCCCTTTCCAGCCAGGGAAGGAGGAAATTTTTTACCAGAAATTCCTCAAGTGGCTTTACAAAAAAAAAAAAAAAAGAAAAAGAAAGAGAGAAAAAAGAAAGAAAGAAAAAAACAACCTTTTCATAATTGAATTAAATCTTTATCTCTTTGTCTTTTACAGCTGATTTCCAAACACACACCAGTTTTCCATATGCTTGGTTGGGTTCTGTCCATTCAGGAAGAATCTTTAAGAATGAAATCTCAACTTTTGAATTAAAACCAAAATGGAAAAAAAAAAAAAAAAGGAAGGAAGAGAGAGGAGAAGGCTCATATTCTACCCTTTTTTGGTTTTTTTTTTTTGGTTTTTTTTTTTTTTGGTTGCTGCTATGCCTTTAAGATTTTGGAACTGTACCCGTGCACTAAATGTGACCTCCATAACTTTTAAATTAAGAATTTATGCTGGCTTGAAATTTATGAAATATTTCAGCATGAAAGAAAGCCTTTTTCCCTCAGGAAAATTGAGCAATAAATCACAGCGCTGTGGATTTACTGCCCTAGAGCCAGCAAGAGATAGGATTTTTTTTTTTTTTGCTTCATTCTGAAAAAAAAAAAAAAATGTAATCATATAAGACAGCTTAGCTGCTGTCCTCCCACTCTCTAGAATTTTTAATTTCAGCTGTTTCTGCTTGGATTTATTTCCAATATTCCTGCTCGGCTTTTCAATTTCCTCAGTTATTAAATTTTAATTCAGTGCATTAGCATTTAAATTAAAAAAGGGTTTATTTTATCGAAATCGTTGGCCAGCCCCCATCCCCGTAGCACACGAATTGCCTGTTTCTGCCATTTGCACAAAATGTGAAATGCAGCTAATGTCTTACAACTTACATTTGCACAAATTTAGAAATAAAAATTCTGGGTTTGGAATAATATTTTCTTTCCAAGAAAACCCTTAATAAGAGAATGGAAAAGAACAACTTAACGTGCATTTGGGAGGGAGGGAGGGAACCAAAAATAGCCTTGCCCAGGTGCTGGAGAGAATCTGGGGTATAAGGAATGGATGGAGCTGGGAAAGAGGGTGGGGTACCATCTCTACTCCCAGCCAGCAAGAATGAGAAGGAGAGTTCCCCACTGACCCATCCATATCTCATTGGTCATAGAGTTGGGGTCCCTCAACATAGAGTGGCAGAGGTGGCGGGGGTGGAGGGTGGGGGAGGGGTCTGAGTTCATCCCACTGTGCCCACCCCCACTTTGACCTGTGGAGAGCTTTAGGTCTAGAGGAATTTTGCCTGAAGTTCAAAGTAAGACCCAGACAGAACCAGGGTGAGGAGCTACATCCTTTCGGAGCATGTTCACGTGACCACAGCAGTCACATTATCTGAGCTGTTACAACTTGGGCTCTCCCTGGACTTGATGCTAAACAGTATTTGGGGTCACCTGGACCATTGGAAATAGCCTTGGGGTTATGGTGGTCTGGTAGAACCTACTGACATGCCGTCTTGAGCAAGGGATTCTGGGAAAGTTCAGCCTGGCTCTGCAGCTTGTTCAGACCATTCTGCTTTCCCAAGCCTTGATTTCCTAGACCCCGTGAATGTTGGTTTCTGTAACTACTTCTGGGGCTGCTAATGGTTATTATTGCCACGTTAAATATTTTAACATATGTGGCCTTATTTATCTCATACCAGTCACAGAAGCTGTGCTTACCATGTGCTATTGTGATAGTGACATGTTATCTTGGAGTCCCCCCACCGTATCCATTGCCCAATCACCCTCCATCCTGTCCCAGAATTCCCACATGGGAATGGACATTTCCCAGTGTAGATAGTCCTGCCTTTAGCAGGTCTGGTACACGGCACTCCTCCCCCCCCCCCCATTCTCTGCAAAAGGACCCATTTCAACAAGAGTTTGAATAATTGGGAACATTTTGTCTTTGTCACCCATTTTTATAAAACAAGTAGGAGTGACCTCCAGCTATATGAAGCCAAGAGTCAATGACAGAGAAGCAGGTGAAGACTGCCAAGTGTGCCCCCAACAGAGCATCCGTCACCCTTTGCTGCACATTCACTGTGTGGGACCTAGCCAACCTGGCAGAAAATTGTGATGGGAAGGCCTGGAGAGATGGCTCAGCATTTAAGAGCACTGGCTGCTCTTGTAGAGGACCAGAGTTTGGTTCCCAGCACCCATATAGTGCAGCTCACAACTATCTATAACTCCAGCTCCAGGGGACCTTACACCTTCTGACCTTCATGGGTATCTGTATGGATGTGTGCACATAAACCCATGTAGACACATGCACACACACACACACACACACACACACACACACACACACACACATAAACAAATAATAAATCTTTTACAAATTGTGAGGGAAAAGACAACATTAAAAGTGTATATGAAATGTTACAAATCCACACCCTGAGTTCAGTCTGAAAGGTAACAGATTATTTCTGAAAACTCTGAGGATCAAACATCTCCTGCTTTGTAGGACCTGCCTGAACACAAAAGCAGCCTTGCATCAAGCTGAGGAATGCAGGATAATATATGGAAGCGGCCATAGCTGATCCCATTCCTTTGCTTCCGTGAAATGACGGGCCTTTCCCACCTGTTTCTTCTGACGTCACAGTGTCATTCTTACCAGACCACACATGCGCGTGGCACCTTTTCTGTCTCCACCTTTCCCATTGTCCGCGTGTGGCAATTGGGAGCTCCATGGGGTCACTTCGCTCTTCTCAAACATTGGCAGAGGACAAAGGATTCTAGGGCTGAGAGAGGTAGCTTTTTGGTCTGTACTCAGAGCTGTGAGACTTTGTATAAAGAAAGTCCTTGAGCCTCTGAGTGGGGACCCACAGTGAGCATTACAGGGGGGTAGGCATCCATGCCCCACACTGGCACTCACTGAGAAGTAGACAAGGGGGGCCTGTCACAGGGACCAAGCAGGTGTTGGCTCCGAGACGAGGAAGGAATGAGGACTGAAGAAGCAGAAATGTCACCACTGCTTGCCTGTTACTCTGTAGGACTGAATGTCACTCCCGAATAACCTGGTGTTTGGGTTTGGCTTGTTTTTAAGAGAAACTGAAAACATGGCCTTTGGGGATGAAACTTTTTTTTTTTTTTTTTTTTTTAATATCGATGGTCTGTTCGAGTCAAACCCAGCCTCATAGTTTCACCAGTTTTTTAACTGTAAGCACACATCAAAAGACAGCTGTAGTTTTTACTTTGGATCCTCAGCCCTTCGTCCACAGCTCTAAAAGGTAGAAAGCTTGGAAACAAAAAGACCGTGACCTTTAGGCAGTAGAACTTAACCGGGGGTGGGGGGGTTTTATCATGTGGTTGTCACCCAGGAATCTATGCGATGTGGCTGTGTGTGTTTTTATCATGGAAATAGCAGGTTAAGTTACCTTGCTAAGTTACCAAGGTGCCACAGACCCTGCCAGGAGTGTGGGGAAATGTGGGGGCATGCAGTGGGTCTCTCTCAGCTTGGTCAGATTCTGGATAGTGGGCACATACTCTTGAGCTCTGGACGTGTTCTAGAATTACTGTGGCTGCAGGTAATTTCAGATAGCCAAGAAGGGCATTGCCCACAGCCAGTGATGGAGGAGGATCTTGGCACTGTTCACCTTCCTGTAGCCTCCTTTGGTCTCTGTGCCAGAGCCTTCCTGATCCCTGGACTAAGAGTCATGACCCCAGGCCATTGTCAGTCAGCCCTCATAAGACTGGAAACAGCTCCCAGGACCATGGTCTCTCCATCCGAACCAGGATTTTCTGATTTGTGGAAATTTCATTTGGTCAGTTTTATCTCCCCACCCCCCTCGCCCCCAAATAAAAAGATTAAGAGCTGGCCCTCTCTTGCATTCCTCCGCTCATAGGGTGGGGGGGACAGAATATTTTAACATAATGGGATTTTTCCCCTCCGGTTGGTAGGAATAAATCTGCAGCTACTGTTTTATTGGAAATCCCAGCAGAAAATAAAAGCAGAGCAATTCAATCTCAGATTTAACTAGTTACTTACTTCTCACTGGGTCCCCAGGGTGTGCGGTTACTGGCTTTGTGTTGGCAGTAGGGGCCTGTGTTGGCAGTGGGTCCTCTCCTGGATTTAAAGGGCCAAGCAGATGGGGGTGGGCAGGTGGCCAGACTCGCTCCTGCCAACTGAGGACTCGAGTCCTTCGTCCCTGGAGGGATGGAGCAGGAGTTTGTGGACCGACTATCCACCTGAAGGCGAGTGTTCTGTGAGCACCGCGCAGGGTAGTAGTGGTGGCTAGAATCTATGTCTTCTGCTTTGGCTGATGGAGGTGTTCTGGGTTTCTTTTGCAGGCTGACGGAGCCAGTGCAGCCAGAAGGAAAAGCACGGTTAGCAGGTACATCCCTCACCATGCCACGCCCCTTCCTGTCCCTGGTCTTGGCCACTGGGAGGATGAGAAGCATCTGTACACCCTCAAGGATATGAGCGGGTGGGCAGTATTTCCCATGTGCCCTCTGCGGGCATCTGTGACATGACTCACTGGAGAACTTAGTGAGTGGCTGCGAAAGTTGGCGTGAGCCCAAGCGGGGAGCTCAGCAGATAAGTGACAACTTTAGGGTACCAGCCCAGCTTAGTATGGCATTCCTGGGCCCACGTGCTTGGGACTGGGTTTTCGTTCTGAACCCATCACTCCAAAGCAAGGCTGTGGGCCGTCCATGGGCTGGCCGAGGGGTCCATCCTCACCCTTGAAGTTGGCAGGAGATGGGAGGAGATGGCCAGAGGAGAGCTGGGTTAGTATTGCCGGACAAGGGAGGAAGACAAAGAGACATGGCCATGAGACCTGGCGTTGCCCAGTTGGCATTTGGCAAGTTTAGCCTGAGTGCTGCTGCTGTGCCTTGGGGAAAGCCTGAGTGACCATGTGACCTTTGCTTGAGGCCTGAGAAGAGAGATGTCTCCCTAGCACAGATAGTCAGGGGTCACCTGCGAGACTGGAAGGTCATATTGGAGTGCCTCATGGATTCCCCAAACACCGGTTCTTTCAAGTTGATGAATTTTTGTGGGAGGTCTGAAGAAGGCTCTTTCTGTGGCCACATTTACTGGGAGAACTGTGGAATAAACAAAGGTTTTTTTGTTGTTGTTTTTGTTTTCTTTTCTTTCTTTCTTTCTTTCTTTCTTTTTTTTTTTTTGCTGTGGGACATTTTAGACTAAAATGTGGTTATTGACTTGTTCGAGTGGGGAAGGAAAGGGGGGGGACGGGATGATAATAATCATGTTTCTTAAACCTAATGAACTATGGAACCCTTTATGGAGATTGACCTCCCTCACTTACGTGTTCCTTGGAACACCCTTTGGGAATCCTTGGGAAGTGTGTCCGTTGAGCTGAAGGGCAACGTGTTCAGCTTTGTTTCAGCGGGTGGGGGGGTGGTCGTCATGACACCCGGAGGGAGGTCCCTTCAGCACATGTGACCTCGTAGGGTCAGGTCCATATTTTATGCAGTGCAGGAGACGGTTAAGTGGGGGTGATACAGGAGGAGTGTGTGTAGGCTGGAATGGAGGAGAGTGTTTTTTTTGTTTTTTAATTTACGTTCCTGTGATAAAATATTTTTTGACAGAAACAGCTTAGAGGAGAGTAGGTTTACTTTAGCTCACAAACCGGGATGCAGTTGATTATGGGGAAGCCAGTGGCGCAGTGTCCTGACACAGCTAGTCCGTCATGGCTAGTCAAGAGTGTGTGTGTGTGTGTGTGTGTGTGTGTGTGTGTGTGTGTGTGTGTGTGAAAGTGTGCATGCGTGCTCACTTACTTGCTTATTGGTGCTCAGCTTGATTTCTCACTTTTGTACGCTCTGGGACCTCTTGCTCAGGGAATGGTGCCACCCACAGTGGGATGGTTATTACCACACAGTTAAGACAGTCCCCCACAGATCTATTTATCTCCATAGGCTAATCCAATGTAGACACTTCCTCATTGGAGAGACTCTCTTCTCAGGTGATTCTGGGTGGTGTCAAGTGGACAACTGAAGCGCTCAGATTGGTGGGTCAGGCCAGGCCTGTGAACACGGTTGGTGATATTGGTGGTAAAGCTTATAGCGCTCTGGGTACAGCTTTTCCTGGAGCCTGATGGTGGACTTTGTGTGTGGGGGTCTGTGGCCTCCAAGGGAGTGGCTCCCATAAGTTCAGGACTGGAAGGGGCCTGGGAATGTGTATAGTCTACCCTCTCGATGTACATGTGGGGACACTGAGGCTCCGGCAAGGAACTCTCCTGCTCAGGGTCATCAGAAAAGTGAGTGACCGTGCCAGACCTGGAACTTGTCAGAGATGGTGCCTTCCCCTCTCCTGCACTCAAGTGGGGACATAGCCCACTGCTCCCCCCCTCTTCCTCGTCGGCCTTGCACCTGCTGGAGTGCGCCTTGGGCTGTGTACTGGGTGCTTGGATGGGTCAAGTCGTAACTGATCCAGCCGGCTTGTGTGGCTTCTGTGTGCCAGGCACTGTTCGAAGTGTTGCCAGGCAGAGAAATGAAGCTCCATCCACACTGTGACTCCGGTAGGGATGAGGTACTGGTGTTTATCATCTATACACTGGCCTGTCCTACTCCAGAGCGTGTATCTGGGTCATTGTAGCCAGAGCACATAGATGGGTTTCCCCATAGCGCTAGTATGTAGTTGTGGCTGTGCATTGACTACAGTCTCGTGACCGTGGTCAATGGCAGAGTCCAGAGACTGATTATTGACTCCTACCCAGGGAAGGACAGAAGGAGGGTTATGTGTGATACCTTTTCCTGAGCAGCCAGGGCTCTCCACCACTTAGATTTAGGGACTGAACCCCCTGTGAGGGACACATTTGTATTATTCTGAGTGTCCGCTGAGGCAGCGGAGGGATTGATGTGCCTAAGGATGCTCAGCTGGAAAGATGCAGGGGGGCCAGGCTGCCTGCCAGTCTGACGTCTCTGATGTCTTTGCCCACTCTGCTCTCCTGCTTCTCCAGGTAAAGGGGCTCAGTTAGGAGTTCAGTAGTGAGCTAGGGGTCCGGGAGGAGGGGGTTGCTGTCTGGTGGTGTAGACTGACTACTTGGAAGATTGAGAGACAGATAGTTTATGAGTTCAAAGTCTACCTGGGTTGCAGAATGAGTCCAAGATTAGCCTGAATAACTTAGGGAGACCCTATTTCAAAATAAAAAAAAGGAAGACAATAGAAAAGGAAAGGTAAGGGTTCCTGGGTAAGTTTGTGTGATTCCTTGACTGGAACTCACAATAACCTCTAGAGCAGTGGTTCTCAACCTTCCTACTGCTGTGGCCTGTAAATACAGTTCCTCACACTGTGGTGACCCCCCCAACCATAAAATTATTTTCATTGCTACTTCGTAACTGTAATTTCGCTACTGTTATGAATTATAATGTGAATATCCGTGTTTTCTGATGTCTTAGGTGACCCCTGTGAAAGGGTCATTTGACTCCCAAGGGGTCACGACCACACAGTGTGGCTGGTGAGTGGCTCAGTGGCCCCAGGAGTGACTGACGTGTTAAAGCGTCAGGGGAACTTAGGCCTCTAGAGAGTGTGACCCTGGCCAGGCCGGGTGTGGTGGACACTGGCACATCAGAGCTTACTCAGCCAGTTTCAGATGGAAAAATAAAGGTTTCAAGCCCCCCCGACACCCCTCCCCCACACCAAAGTCAAGACTGAGACTAGAAAGCCGTGGGCAGAAATGACCTTGAAGGGTGGACAGCGCCCCCTGGAGGCCTGTGCTCCCTGCCTGTTAGGGCGTCCTCTCACCGCACCAAGTGCCCTTTTAGCCCTGTGCCCTCTCTTTGGCCTAGAACACACAATTTTGTTATTTTTTCCCCCCGAGGGCCTCTGGCTAACCCCCAAAACTAACAGCATGGCCTGCTAAGGAATTAGAGTTAAATTGAGGGGGACAGGGGAGAGGCGGGGTTCCTGGTATTAAGGAGCAGACAAATGTAGTTCACAGTACTTCCTTCCCTGTAACCCAGGCCAGGCTGCTCTTACAAGCCCAGTGATCCAGGGCTTGGGTGATGCTGATCGAATGTGCAGGTTGCTACCCACGTACCAGCGCAGCAGCCAAATGCTGCTTGTCCCAAGGGGCCGGGGACGGTACCTGGAACGTTCTAGAGAAAATGCAGGCTTTATGATGAAGCAGGTACAGATAGCTCTAGGCTTGCTGTCTTGGAGAACTGTGCCCATTTGGCCTGTGGAAAGAGCCTAATGACCTAGCAAAACCCTCCAGACAGCCAGAGATAGGAGAGGGTCAGCCACTCATGCCTCCTTGCATATGGCAGGTGTGCATAGAATCCTAAGATGGGAAAGCAAGGTCTCGTTCATTCACTCCTTCATTCCATAAGATACTACTTAATGCCTAAATTCTGATGATACTGCACTGGGCACAACAGACTGCAGGCCCTGCCCTCGAGGAGTCGGGGTTCTGGTGGGGCAAATATGTGAAGTGCCTGCTTGTGGGATCTAATGAGTGCCTCGGCAGAAGGAGCGGGGAGGGTGGCAGGGAGACTGTGAGAGGCTGTTGGCTCGTCAGCTTGGGTGCTTAGTCACTAAAGGCACCACTGGGGAGGGGACTCTGAAACAAGGACATGAAAGAGGCCAAACCTAGCGGTTCTCTGAGGGAAGTGTGTTCCAGAGAGAACTACAGGTGCCAGGCCCTGGGGCTGGGGCATGCCCTTTGCACTGGAGTAGCATCCAAGAGGGCACTGTGACTTTGGCACTTACTGTGCTCGCCGTCAGGAGGCACTAGGGATTTTGAACAGAGATGACGCTGTATTTGATTTGAAAAGGGTCATCGTGCCTTTAAGAGGACAGGAGTGGGAGGCAAGATGTTAGAGGAGATACTGCTGAGGGTTCAGACCCACAGGGCTGTAGAAGGTAGGCATAGAGGTAAGCACGTGATGGCCTGTTGTGTTTTGAGCACATGATGGACTGTTGCGTTTTGAGCTGGAGGACACTGACTGGGAGAAGCCTATATCTGAAATGCACAGCCTCCTGCTTGGTCCTGGGACAGCCCCAGACTGGGCACTCATATCCACATGGCACCCCTCTTCCCAACCTTGGCATTCCCTGTTTGGTTGGTTGGTTGGTTGGTTGGTTGTATATCTCTGCCTTCCCTCTAGCCATGCTGAGAACCAGGCAGCTCACACAAAGTCTGCCTGGGTTCGGATCCTGGTGTTGCCACTTCCTGGTTGTTACCCGACCTGCGTTTTGGCACATTTTGGTTTCCTCATCTGGACGGTGAAGGTTGTGTCAGTTCCACACCTCAGTGTGCTGGTAAGGTGGCTGCCCTCTGCAAGACGCCCAGCCATAGCAGGTGGTCAGACAACATCCACTTTCCTTGTCACCGTGCTGGCAGGGTGTAGAGGAGAGGGTGAGGATGGAGCTTGGTTGTTGAGGGACCTTGGGATCTGGTCACCATGCCTTGACAACGCACATGCCTTCTTTGCTCCTCGGAACACCTTCTAAAGCGGTGCCTGATGTCCTCCTTCAGATCCAGTTGAAGATGCCCAAGGTCACTCGTACAGTTGAATAGCTTTGTGCTTAACTGAGTCTTACCCTTAATGCCAAGGCCTTTTACCAGTAGACTGTGTAATCATGACCTCATGTGTGAGCCTGCATTCTTTAGAGAGTAATTTTTGATTAGCATTCTGGTTTTCAGCAGCAAAATAAAGGTTGTCCCAGACAAACCGGTTTCATTAGCACTGACTTTTGTTTTGTTGTTGTTGTTTTGATTTGGTTTTTCAAGACAGGGTTTCTCTGTGTAGCTTGTGCCTTTCCTGGAACTCACTCTGTAGTCCAGGCTGGCCTCGAACTCACAGAGATCCACCTGGCTCTGCCTCCTGAGTGCTGGGATTAAAGGCGTGCGCCACCACCGCCCAGCAGCACTGACTTTTCATAGTAACTGTCACCTAGCTCTAGTGAATGATACAGTGTAGATGGAAGAGACTCTTTGAGAATTGGCTTGCTTCAATCAGGAAGCTTCTTCCTCTGGCTCCAGGCTTATGCTCCCAAGTGACAGAGCTTGGATTTGATGTCCAGAAATGGCCCTTCTCCCTCTGCCAGACTCTAGGCAAAGTGTGAGTCCTGGACCCTCTTACCCTGACGGTTGACTGTAAGGTCTGTGCCCTTGCTCCAAGGAACTGGTTGCTTTTTTAGTAGGCAGAGTTCAGTTTTTGCTTAATCAGTTACTACTAAACCTAGACTGTAAGTAGAGAAGATTCTGGAATGTTCACATGCAACTCTTGCTGCCCGACAGAGACAGCCAGAGAAATGCACAGCCTCGCTCACATGTATTGGGATCCACAGGTCGTCGTCACCAAAGAGCATTTGAGTTTGGGGTGACCTTACACAGAGAACTGAGCAGGGTCTCCTGGGACTTTTGCTTGGCTCTCTCTGCTCTGCTTCCTGCTGTGTGTGTTCTATGAGCAGAGGGGGTTCTTCCTGAGAAGCTGCCTCTGCTGATGGGGGAGGAAGCACCCTCACTCAGCTGAAACTCGCTCACACACCATTCAAAGCATGCTGGTAAAGAAGGTCCCCCTACTCCATAGCTGCCTCCTGGTTCCCTTGGGTCTGTTTCTCACAGTCTCTGCCTCATCTTTGCTGCTGGCTGGACAGCAGCCACGCCCACCACTCCTTTTGTTTTCGTTGGGGCTGAAAATTCCCTGGTTCCCTTCATGTAGAAAGCATTCTTGACCGATGGGCTGAAAGGCTGGCCATCCTTCCCATAGTCCGAGCAAACATCACATTTTGTCTCCTTTGTAGGAACTAGAGAAAATAGCTACTTGTTGGGTCCCGGATATGGACAGATGTCTGTGTGGGATGAGGGAGGTCCAGGACTCCCACCCCCCCCAAGGATACTGAGTCCTGTGATGCTCAGGGCCCATCTGAAAATGGGTTATATTTGCCTGTCATCTCTGCACGTCCTTCCATATGCTTTGGATTTCCTCTGGGTTATTCATAACTGGCACAGTGTAACTGTCCTGTGATGGGTTGCTAGACCGCATAGCTTAGGGAGTTATGACAAGGATACAACTCTGTCCTCGCCCAACACACACACACACACACACACACACACACACACACACACACACACACACCCAGACAATCTAGCACTTGGAATGTGGACATGGAGCCTAAGGAGACAGAGAGCCAGCTGTATGTGGTAGCATACAGGGTGCCTCATGCATGGCTGACCTTGAACCTTCTGAACTGTTTGAGTCGGCATTAGCATCCCTGAAGGCACATACAGAGAGGGGCGGTTAGCAGTAACCCAGTGTTAGCTAGCTCTACATCCAGTTTCTCACCCTCAGGGCCCCTGTGAGGGTAACAGCAGGACAGAGTCTGGTGTGGGTCTGTACACTTGAGCTCATTGCTCCCTGGAGAACGCTGTACTCAGAGACGGCTAGGTACGAGAGACGCTGTGTATCACCCACTAGTCTTAAGGTCTGGCGGGGGATTGAGGGGAAACCATTGGAGGGAAGGACTACAGAGCATCTACTAGCATGGGACCAAAAGGAGGAGGAGGGGCCGTCCTGTGAGGAGCTTCTCCCTTTGTCAATCCTAGGAAGACGTGAGGGGCAGGGAGAGAGAGGAAGGGGAGTTATTAAGCCATAGGCTTGTCTGGAAATAAGGTCAGTAGTCAGAAAGTTGATTCTGGTTCTGAGACCTGCAGGAAGACTGCCTATGGGGCCGCCTGCCCTCTGGGATCTGTCTGTATGAGCCCGTGTGTCCTGGAGCAGGGCTGTGTAGGATCTTGGGCACAGACCTCCTCCATCAACTCCCTATCTGCCTATTCAGATGCTGTTGTGTGGGTGCTAGTGGCTGGGGCTGCAGTGTCATTATGTGTGAGAGCAGGGAACAGGGCACATTTGAGACAGTTCAGAATTACAGTGCTGCCAGGCCCGTTGGCAAAGCCAAGCCATGTGTTGATTTAAAATGCTACTAATGCTAATCCCATGTAATGGCCAGGTCTGGGTCAGCCTCCAATGGGATGTGTCCCCGTGCCCATGAAGTGAGCTCCCGGGTCTTAAGCAGAACACCCTACTAGCTGAATCTTGGCATTCGCGATTTGATGGGGTTGCCTGAGACTATTTCTTTTTCCTGCTTTAGTTTTCAATTAACTAGGGAATTTTCTCTTAATATTTAAATCTTAACGTTGTCTCTCTGAGCGGCAATATTAGTCAGTGTTGTGGCTGACTGACACCATGCATTGAAGAAAATTAAGTGCCTAAGAATTATCTCAAAGTAATGATGTATTTATGTATTGTAGGTTATTTTGAGTTTCTAGAATGTTAAGAGTTGTTTAATAGGTTAATAGTTTCAATCTATTAATTTAATCTTTTCTTCTTGACTATTTATTAAAATATATCAGTGATACATGACAGGAATGGAAGCTCAGACAATTTGGAGGGTTATTGAGGGGCAGATAATGGAGTAAGGATTGGAAACTTGGGCAGAATAGTAAGTACAGGCCCCGGGCTGGTCCTGTCTCTCCAGCCTGAGGTCTCACTCCAGAGTCCTTTGGCGCCCTCCCGGTCTCTCAGTCCGAAGTCTGTCATTCCGCTGTATGTCCAAAGGACACATTGTCGCAAGCAACTACCTGAGCAGCATCATGGAGCATTAGAGGTTGACAGTGTGCACCAAGCCCAGGTAGCTTTCTCTGGGGAGGAGAGGACCCCTCCACTCTTCACTGTCTCCGTCCTGTATGGGTACTCCCTATTTCCTGGAGTTCCTGGTGCTCGTCCCACATCTGTTTATTCATCGGCAGGTGTTTTCCCAGTCTCTCTTGTTTTGAGAAGTGAAAACTAAACCTGTCCAAATAGTCAAAAGCCTCAGCTTTGGAGTCAGGCAGACCCTGGCAGGATCATCTTTCTGTCATGAGGAAGCTCAGAGGCCCTCCAAAAGTCACATTGTCATTATTCCTGTCCCTGCCTCCTCGTCTGTAATGCAGGAACTGCCTGCCTTGTAAGGTGCCATACAGGGCTAGTGGGAGCAGGTGTCCGGCATGCAGTGCCACAGCTGGACACTACGTCACAGAGCTCCCCTTCCTCCCCACACTGTGGGTACTGTTCTTATCACCGCAGCATCACGGCCAGCTTCACCTCTGCCCTGTGCACTGATGTGCTGATGTCTAGTCATTTTCTGTTTGTATTGTTCTCTCAGCAGACCTTGGCTGCTCCCCACCGGGGCCCAGGCACAGAAGACAAGCACAGTGAGTGGAGCTGTGGCCTCTGGATGTCTCTCAGAGTTGCATGGAAATCATAGGTGCAGGTGAGGGCTTGGGGCAGGATGCATTAGAGTGGAGGAAGCCTGCAGATTCCAGGGCCTAAGCCTCACTCAGGAGTGTTTGCCCTGGTGTCTTAGTTAGGGTTTCTAATTGCTGTGAAGAGACACCCTGACCACAGCAACTCTTACAAGGATGAGATGAGGATTCCACACAATACACAAGAGTCGCCAGAAGGTGGGAGGCCCTCGGGTGAGTTCAGTGCCAAGTGTGGGGAAGGGGAGAATCAGCGGCTGAAGACAGAAAGCACCTTGGGTGGAGACTGGGGCGGGACAGCCGCATTTAACAACCCAGATTTCATGGGGCCTCAGAAAAGCAGTTCCGGGGATGCAGGGGAGACCAGCAGCTCTATAGACTATAGACGGAAGCATTGCCAAGGCAGGGTCTGTGATGACCCACAGGAAACAAGTCTGACTGAGATCATCAGTGGGAGGGCAGCTTGGTGGGGAACAGTGGACTTGATCTGAGGTCAGCCTCTGCAGCAGGGTCCTATGACCCCTGCAGGCATGCAGTGTGTGTTTCGGTTTATTTCAGATGCCGGCGTTGTCGGTACGTTCTGGAGACAGTAGTTAAATGGAGCTTGAGGCAGTGGAATTTTGCTCTGGAGGGAGTAAGCAAGGCACTGTTTGCATGCCGCAGCAATTAGCGCTGCTTTCAGTGGATGAGCACCATGGCAAATGGCACCTTTGGAAGAACTAGGCTGACTCTAGGGGTGCGGGCAAACACACTGCTTCCCATCTTCTAGTGAGAGACACACACCTGAGCACACAGGGTTCGCCCCTGTGTGGGCGTTCTACGTCTCAGGTAGAGAAACTGAATCCCAGAAGCCTGACGTGGTATCACTGGGCTGATGGTCCCAGCCACTCAGAAGGTGGAGACTCAAGGAGCAGTTGAGCTCAGGAATGTGAAACTGGCCTGGGCAGCATAGTGAGACACCCACCCCCGCATCTCAGAAGGCAGAAAGGTTTGCAAAATCAGTCGAAGGGAGTCAGGCTCAGGGTTCAAGTCCAGGGAGTTGATGTCTCTATTTACTGGGACTATGTAGAACTTCCTATGTTAGTATTTTTGGTGGACTGGTGTAGAAATTATGCCTAAGAACAACATTGTCTGGCTCAGGTACCTAGGGTCACTTGGGACCTGTCCTCCAGCATTCCCAGGTCTTGGATTCACTGATGACGTCATCTTAGGCTGTGGGTTTGTGATTGCCGGACAACAATAGAAGCCAGAATCGTTTTTTACCCTATGTTGGTTATAAGTCAACGTTCTGTGACCTTGGGCATGACCTTTGTTCACCCGTGTGCACTGAATTGCTACTGTTTGGTATGCCTAGTGCTTTGGGTTCCCCATCTGGCAGCAGGACTTGAAAACGCAGGTGGGCTGGGTGGGTACGGCCACTTGAACGGCCAGGTAAGACTCGGAGGAGGAAGATTGTTTCTGGGGCTTCATTCCGAGTCTTTGGGCACAGGAGACCGGCCACATGCCTAGGACAGCAAGCCAGGAACAAGAAGAGTGAGCACCGGCGGGAGAGGAGGGCTGGATTCAGAGACCTCACGGCTCGGAGGAGCCATCACTTCAGAATTACTTCTCTACAGTGTGTTTTTTCCCTGTGGCCTATCCAACAGGTTACAGTAGTTCCCCACCCCCACCCCCTCCACTGCTCGCAGTTTCGCTTTCTGTGGTTTCAGAACTATATCCAAAAATATTAAACAAAACAATTCCAGAAATACACCGCCTGCAAGTTTTTCAGTGACTTACTGCTCTCTATGGTGTTGTGAAATCCCATGCAGTCCTGGGTGCTCAGGACGCCGGTCAGGGTATCCACACTGTGTCTACCACCCACCCCTTCCCACTAGTGCTTACCGCGGTTCTCATCTCAGCTGTCTCAGCTTGTGTTTAAGTGGCCCTAATGCCACTTAATCATGTTCCCAAACCACAGAAGTTGTGATGCAAAGAGAGCCGAGCACAGCACCCTGGAAGGACAGGGTGCCTTTGGTGCTATGCTCTAGAGCTGTGGGGCACATAGGAAAAAACGTCCGCACAGCCCAAGCTTCAAGCATACACATAGGGGGTCTTGAATACGTCCCTTACAGAGAAGAAGAGCCTGTTGCACCTCAGATTGGGTGGCTTAGAGCCACAGAGGTTTATTCCTGCAAAATCTCGAGACAGCAATCAGAAATCAGCGAGCCAACAGATTAACACTCACTCTGGAGGCCTCTAGGGGCCAAATGTTTGCTCTTGCTTCTGGCAGCTGTCATTGTTCCTTGATGTATGGCCACATCTACCTGCATGTCCAGTAGCTTCCTCCATTTCTCTGAGACCTCTTCTATCTCTAATATCCGTGCTCTCGGCAATACTTGCTATTGCACATAGGATGAGTTCACTTCCAACATCCTTACATCTGCAAACATCTATTGTTGTTGTTTTCAAAGAAGCTCACATTTGGGGCTGCAGAGATGGTCTCAGTGCTTGCCATACAGCAGGAGACCAGGGTTCAGATCTCAAGTACTCACACAAAAGCCAGATGGGCATGGTGGCATGCTTGTAATCCCAGCACCACTGGAGAGGTAGAAACGGAATGCTCAGAGCCAGTTGGCAAGCCCGACGGTTAATGGTTCCATGAGATCTGGGTTAAGGGAGAGACCCTGAAGGTAAAGTGAGGGAGGTGTTAGCTTCTTGCTAGCACCCCCCCACACACACACACATAAGCCCACACATACACATTGCAGAAAAAGCATGTTCACAGATTCTAGGGTTAGGATGTAGCCATGCCTTTTGGGGGAGCTCCAGTCACCCCACTACAAGGAAGAAACTCAAATATCAGTGTCAGGCAACAAAACAAAGTTGTGTCTATTGAAAATGAAGGAAATAGGGTCTTGGAGTCCTACTCAAGGCCATTCTCGCCATCCCAGCCTCCTGGGTGATTGTGAGCCTTTGTAACAGAACACCTAAGCCCTCGAGGAACACATCTGGAGAACCATTACCCAAGAGATGGGCAGGAGCTTTCAGCACCTCTTTGGGCAGGGGACCCGTTTGGTCTGGCCTCTCTCCGGTCAGTCCACATTCAGAGTAACCAGTGACCAGGGGCAGCAGGTACTTACTGAGAAATACCCTTCCAGTGCCCATCTTTGGATTTGATGTTGAAGTGTGACTCGGGTTAAATATAAAATTCACAGCATATCTTGAGCAACTATTTTGTAGTTATCTATATATAAATCTATTTTACAGCGACACAAATAGAATAGATTATGGAGTGTCAGCATGTAGATAGATTCTGAGTGCTTTTCCACTAATATACCTAATGATTCGTGCTGAGAATATTCAAGGGCTCCACTGTACATTTAAATGGATATAATTAAAATAATGAGCTCTATTTTAAAAAATGATATATGAAAAAAATTTTTTAAGAAGTTGGAAGGAGCTGCACCACTAATTCAAAGTGATCTAAGTACTTGTGTGATGCCGTTGTTATTAGGACACCTAATTAAATGCGGAGCAGCTGAGGAAGAGAGAGGTTTGGGCTTGTAAATCTCAGTGCAGGAGTTGGGGAAGAGATGGAAGCTGCCCGTGTGTGTCCTGAGCACCAGGAGCATTAACAGAAGGGGAGCCGGTAGCTCTGTGCCGTGCCGTCACACACATACCTGTGGCAAGAGCGCGGCTCTCATGATCCCCATCCATAGGCCGAGTCAAGGGGTCAGGCTGCTCACGCAGCTGCAGATGGATTTCCAGAGCCAGCTCCTATTTAGAATGTAGCAGGGTCGGGGAGGGGGCTAAGAGTCTTACCTGCCCTTGGGGAGAAGTCATTTGCTCGTCCTCACTCTAGAACCCTGGTGACCCGTCTGGAGGTCCCAGGGGTCAGGAGACATGGCCTCAAGTCCTGAGTTGGTGCTATGCCCTGAAGTCTCCCTGTACTATATTTCCTCCCAGGCCTGTTGCGGATGGGTATGGCTGGCTACCTTAAGCGTAGATCCATCTGCTGTCTTGGCGAGCCCTTTTGTGGGTCACAGCAAGCAGGAGTCCTGATGCCTGTTCACCAGGTGGCATGTCTTCTCTTGATCGTTGAGCAGGTACAGCACTTATGGAGCATCTGCTGTGTGCCTGCTGTATGCTGGAGGTAGAGTGTTACACAGACATCTGTTAGGGCGTGCACAATTTGGTGAGTCATCAATGGACAAGGCATTGCAGACAGCAGCCAGGGCTAGGAAGAAAATAGACAAGGTGATGGCGGAGAGGCTGGACAGTGAAGTCACAAAGGGGACAAGAGGGCCAAAGAGAATTCATAAGTGTACCCAGTCGCTGTGGGAGTCACCTGTGGGAGGGAGATGCGCCTTCCGCAGAGGAGTTATGGCTCCGTCATGCTCGGAAGGCTTCATGGTGGCCAGAGTGACAACATCATGAACCAGTGTCATTGTCATAATGATAACTGCTATTTGAAATTTGTGTGGACATCCACTTCAGGCAGATGTCCCCACCCATCCTCGTGTCCATCAAGGATCTCCACGTAACAGACATGGAAACGAAGGCTCGGGGAGGGTTTTTTGAGGAACAGGGCAGGGTCTGTGGGTGAGCAGGTTAGAGTGACACAGTGTGTCTGACCCACAGTTCCTCTTGCCCTCACGGGGTGGCCTGGAACTAATGAGGACCTTAGGATCGAGAAGGGACATGGGGTTTCTCCAGGGTGGGTAACAGTGCTGAAATTGAGAATACGGCGGAGCAAGCTGGGGAGGAGACGGCGATGTTCCTTTCTGTCCTGTTTCTGAACTTGGCAAACCTTGGAGAGATCAGGCCTTGGCCAGGCCTTTGGCAGTTCTCTTCATGTCTGAAAATGTGACTCGTGGCCACCTTTCCTCAATCAGTATGTTTATTTCTGTCTCATGAGCAGCTCGGGGTCTCCCTTCCTGGTTCTCAGCCATGGTGGAGCTGGCGTTTGGAGAGCCGTGGGTTGAATGCATTGCAGTCCGTGTGCTAGACTACATGCCATGGAAAAGTCTTCCGTGCTCCCTATATTAATCTGTGTTCTGTTGATGTCATCAACTACTCAAGGCTGAGTAGTTTCTAAAGAACAGAGATTTATTCAGCTTGCACCCGTGGAAGTTCAAGAGCCAGCATGAGTTCGGCTCTGGTGAGGTCTCCCGGCAGGCAGCTTCACCAGGACCTAGTAGCAGGTCAATATTAATGGGCCAAGTACTCGGCTAAGGGTTTTCTGTGTGTTCACCCGTGACAACCCGTAGCTGTGCTTGCAGATGAGGAGACCCAGGCTTCAAGGTGAGGTGCTGAGTAGGGAGTGAACAGCTGGCCCCTCCCCTGCTTTCCTTGGATGGTGGTTAATGGAATACCAGGCATAGTGTTTCACCAGGCTGGAGACTTGAGGCCAAGTCTGGAGTCAGATGGCTTAAGCTCCGGGGAGGGGCGACTGCCAAGCTTGCAGACAACCACTGTGCCCTCTGTTGGAGAGAGTAACGGTTGTGAACTTATTTGTCATGGGGTGGGGGGCATGTTATAAAGTATGTGGAGGGCAAAGAGCGACCTGTGGGAGTCAGTTCTCTCCTTCCACTATGTGAGTCACAGGGATGAAACTCAGGTCATCCGGCTTGATGACAAACGCCTTTCCTGGCTGAGCCTTCTTGCTGGTCCAAGAGTCACTAACGTCATCATCAAGGCTCCACCGTGGGGATCTCATTTAACTCTCATTATTTCCCAATCACTGTGGCCCCCAGAAACAGCCACGTTTGCGGTTTGGATATTAGTGCGTGAATTTGGGGGTGGGTGGGCACAGTTTGGTCCAGAGTAGCTCCCCGGTGGCCTTTCTCTGTGCCTCCCTTGTAAGCAGGTCCTCCAGGATTCTCTCTTTGCTCAGCGTCAACCTTTTGCCCCTCTGGGAGCAGCTGCGGCTAGAGAATCAACTTGTGCAGTGAAACCATTGCTCCTCGACTATTGTAGCTTCTGAGACCCAGAGAGCAGGGCTTCTACGGGTCCACACCGCAGGGTCCAGGTAGATCCAGGACCAAGTCCCAGGCCCTGCTTCCCACATCTCCACGCCTTCACAGTGCTCCGCTTTGCTCGACACGTGGCCAGGCCTGAGCATGCCTTGAGTCTAGGCTTCTCTGAGCAGAAGAAAGGACCAGGCGTGGCCAGGCAGTGTCCCTGGGCCTGGAATGAGACTCGATTTTCATCTTGTGCCTACCTTGCCTTACTCCCCTTCCACATGGAAGTCGTGAGGATGGTTCACCTACTGAAAGGATGTGGGAACCCATGGAGAGCCATGGGGAAAGAGTGGACCGGGTGTGGGTGCCAGAGCCCTGGCTGCATGTGTTCGCCTGCGCCTGCCTTTATGACCTAGGCAAGTCATGGCTCTGTTCCAGGCTACAGACTGCACTCAGCGTCCTGCCCAGTTCCATCCGACCTCAGGTCCTTGAGGATGTTCTCAAATGCTTGGAGAGCAGTCCCGTGCCAACCCATTGACTCTTTCGCACCCTCGCCACGAGAGCCTCTTGGGACCGATGTTTTCCCATCTAAAGTGGGAGTAGAAAAGAGCTTGGATGGGATCTGTGGTCCTGCTGCCAAGGAACAGAAACAGTGCGAGATACTTGGCATGCTCTGATCGCGCTGCTCAGAGTGCTGTTGGCAGACCAGACCCCCAGCTTGGCCTGGGGCTTGTTAGAAATAGAGTCGCAGGCCCTAGCCCAGGCTGCCTGAACCAGACCTCGAATCTATGAAGGCAGGACCCCCAGCTTAAAGTTGGACAGGAATACATTGCCAATAGCCAGAGGTGCCCCTTGAGGTAGCTTGTGACTTCAGTTGTACAAATGATAGGAGGTCAGCTGGGTACTCCTGGGAGTCTTTAGACCTCCACTTACCCAGATGTAAAATGGAGCTGATGGGGGAGGCCAAGGAGCCCTCCTTTGCATTCAATACAGAGCGTTGACCTAAGTCTGTATGGTGCTCAGGGCTGGTGGGTTCCCTGTGTGCCAGCGGGCTGTTACGGATCCCCTCTGAACGGCCTCTCTTCTTCCCAGGGAGCGCTTGAAGCGCAGTCAGAAGAACGCCAAGGTGGAGGGCCCAGAGCCAGTGCCTGCTGAGGCCTCGCTGAGTGCTGAGCAGGGGACGATGACGGAGGTGAAGGTGAAAACGGAACTGCCGGACGACTACATACAGGAGGTCATCTGGCAGGGCGAGGCCAAGGAGGAGAAGAAGGCGGTGGGCAAGGACGGAACTGGCGATGTACCTGCCGAGATCTGCGTGGTGATCGGCGGCGTCCGCAACCAGCAGACCCTGGGTGAGTGCTTGAGTGAGGACCCGGACCTCAAGGTAGAAATGCGTGGCCGGAAAGAGGCTGGCCTCTCTGAGAGGCTGTGTCTTGCTCTGCCCCAGGAAGAGAGCAGAGCTCCCGAGAATTGCCTTTGCATGTTGAATTCTAGCCTGCAGAGTTCACTTTCTTCCTGATGTGACAAGACCCCATGCTTCTGTCAAGCCTTTGTTGGGGTCAGATATTTAGAATATCTGCTGGTCCAGTGAATCCATCGCACCTTGAGGCCCCAAGCCCCTGGTGAGGAACCAGCATAAGCCCTTACTGCTTGCTTGGTATCTTGAATGCATGTCCTGTCTGTCTTGTCCCTGGCTTGACTGGGAACTTTTGGAGAAGTTCCCAGGGCTGGTCCTGGTCATCTTTTGATCAGTGGCAGGTAGGTGCCTTCCTGTACTTGGAAGAGTCTGGTAATAACTTGCTCTAAGGCAGTGATGATTCAAGGACTCAGATGGTCACACGGCCTAACAGGCCGGCTTAGCATATGTAGCGAGAGCCTGCAGGACATGAGATGGCGATTGTGCCCAGCTGCCCTGTGTACAGAGGGCAGCTGCTCCTACAACCACAATGCTTGACAGCCTCTTAAGAGTCACTTCAAGTGGGGACCTGGGCTCAGCCCTGCCAGATCTCTGCACAGATCCTGTGCCCAACATGTGAACATATTGGTGTGAATTCTTTTGGCTTTCAACATTGGCTCTCAGATTGGCTTTTGAAAGCTGCCAAACAAAACATATTGGTGGCTTCATGTCGTTCCACGAGCCACAGCTTTGAATCCCAGAGACAGTGAAATAAGGCCCATGTTCCTTACCCTGCTCCCTAGTCTGGCCCCACGTGTACATGTACATGTCCATCCTTACCTTCATCCATGGTTGCCTTGCCCAGAGTGTTCAGGGGCATGCTGTTCCCTCCACCATCGCCATCTACCCTTCACAGTCTCGGTCTGGCCTGCCCTTCCTGACTTCTCAGCCCCTCTGTCTTCCTGGCTTGCATACTGTGTGTGGCTTACAGGGCATCAGGGGGAGATGCCCTTTGTTTCCAAGGTTCACCCTCAAGTCCTGATGCCTTTTCTCCCTAACTGCTGGCCTCCGCCTCCTGCTCTCTTGTCCACTGTTACTCAGTGTCCCCACGTGCGTCACCACAGCATCCCATGACCAGCCATACTTCTGTGTCTCTCTGCCTGACATATCATAGCAAATAAAAACCACATACTATGTTGTCCTTCCTTACAAACCTTGAGACTGACTCCGGCCATGTCCAGAACTGTGGCCACAGCACCGGGATCCTCCAATAGTCCTTTGTCTTTGGCCTCTGATCATCCCAGACCTCTCAGCACAGTATTCATCCTGTCATCCTGTCTGCTCTTGCTGCTTCCCCTTCTGGGAATACCTACACCCATTTCCCAAGTCCAACTTGTCCTTCAGGGCCAATTCCAGGGCCGCCTCCTTCCTTCCCTCATCTCCTCTGGTCAGAGGGGTCTACATGAACTGTGCTTGTCCCCTGCCAAGTTTGGGAGCTCCTGGAGATTGGATCTCTGGGACCTGCCTGACTTCTGCACCTTGTTCCTACTCCACAGCATGGTGCTGGCTTCTGGGGAGCTGTGTTGTTGTGGTACTGTGATAGTCAGAATGGGGCGAGGTGATGGTGTGGTAAAGAGAGGTCTCAAAAGTAGTAGATCTTGGTAACTCAGAACCCTGAAAATGTATTTCTTCTTAACACTCTCCATTGTGGCTCACACAGGGCTCTACTTGTCTCTGAACTCTAGCACAAGTTAGCTATGTTCATAGACAGCCGGATGGCAGAGGATACCAAGCTCCAGATGACCTCAAGCAGGCCATTTATGGTAGAGCCAGAAGGGAGAGGTATAGATTTCATTGACAACTGTCACACCAAACATCTGAGGGAGCTAGGAGGTACCCACATCCCAAGAGCAGCATGAAGGACAGTTGGGCATGAGGAGGGGAGCCTTGCCTGACTTCTGCCCCTCAGCATTTACTTCCCAAAGCCAAGGACCACGCTTCCTCCATCTGTGAATGGAGGTGAGGTTATGCTCTTATTCTCACTGACAAGGATATGTTAATACTCTTTAAGCCCAGCAACCATTGCTGACATCCAGCAACCATTGCTGCCCTTCCCAGGATGTCCTGTGAAGGGTAGCTGAGTGAAGATCCAGTCAGGGAGGCCTCTGGTAGGCAGGCCAGCCAGAAGCACCATTTCCCACTCAGCTGCTGCTCAACAGCCAGGTCTTTGGCTTGCACTGTCCATTAGTGTCCTGTTCTGTTAGATGAGGACCCACCCTGGCCACCTCATGGATGTGGGGATCGAAATAGAAGTGGACAGAACAGTGTTGACAGAGGAGCTCATCTCCGTGGTGCCTGTGATGGAGAGCACATCTAGGTTCTCCGACTCATGGTGTGAGGCCTCTGTGTACCACAGTGCCCACCAAACAGATTCATGGGTTATGTGAGGACATAGGATGTGTGCTAAGTGCCTGGTGCTATGCCTAGTGATGAGTGGATAAGCTCTTAGTAGTATAGTCTGAGTGTTGGTAACTGTAGTTGGAATTTTCTTTGGGCTGCTAACCAGCTCCTAAATAATGACATGGAGAGTTATTAATTATGAAAGTTCGGCCGTTAGCTTAAGCTTGTTCCACTAACTCTTACAACTTAATTGAATCCATTTCTATTCGTCTACATTTTGCTTTGTGGCTTTTTACCTTTCATATTGCATGTTTGACTCCCTCCAGGTCTCATTGGTATCTCCCAACACCATGATTATCTCCTCCTCCTTCCTCTTGCTGTGCCCAGAAGTCCTGCCAATACCTCCTGCCTAGCTATTGGTCATTTAGCTTTTTATTATACCAATCACAGTAATACATTTTTCACACACTGTACAAATATTCCACATTTCCCCCTTTTTGTCTAAATAAAAAGGAAAGGCTTTAACGCTAACATAGTAAAACTATATACAATAAGAACAATTAGCAGTTAAGAATTACATTTACAATATTCAGTCCATTTGTATTTGGCAAATTCAGAGAAAATACTCCATTATTTATCCTATCTTGGTGAGTCCAAAGTTTTGCACCTAATTTACCTTCTATCATAACTTCAACTATAACTATCTAGTCTTCAACTCCATCAAAGACCTAAGAAGGATATAACATTACCTGAATAAACAGGAAATGCAGTGCAAGCCACTTCCAAAACTATAGAAATGACAGAGACATTTGTCTGCCTGGACAGTCATCCAAGGTTCATTTGCAATGCTGGGGCATCTGTCTTCGGCCTAAGACCTAGAATATCTGGCAAACTTTTCTATGAAGCAGGAATTTTAAAGGACTATCCCACCTTGTCTTGGCAAAGTTCGGCAGTCTTTTTCATATGTGTCCTGCTTTATACAGTATACTTAATGTTAGCAGTTGAGGCAAGGGCAGTTTCTTGCCCATATGGCTAGCTTTGCCACAGTGAAAGCAAACTCCATATGAAGAGTCTTCAACACACATCATCCTTTTATGAAGTGGATTGGTGCTGCCAGGAACAGAAATGTCTCAGTATCATTAAAAGCCTTAAGTTACTAAACATCTTAAATGCCATATTCTGTAGGTCTCTGAAGTGTTTGAAGATCCCCTATCTATCTAAAATATAGCTCTTTAACCTTGAAAACATACCTAACATAACTACAAGTGTGATCGTTATAGATGACTAACTACTAACGTGTGTTTTTAATTATCCTAACCAGTTTGTAATAATAGCTTTCAAGGACTAGAACTTTATATACATTTTAATGAACTGCATAACTACAATACCTTAAACAAGAGTAGAAACATATGTATGGTACAACAAAATTAGCCTTAAATTTGTATCAATACACAAAAACCCATATCATTGTAAAATATTTGAGATGAATGGTTGTCTTTTTATCCTATATTCCTAAATCCCCACTAAATGATGACAAATATTCATAACCCACCGAGTTTACCAAAAACCATCCACCCCACCTCTTGGGAATGTAGGTATTATGTTCTCTAGACTGCTTCCTATTGTCTGGGGGCGATGGCATCTCCAGGGGACTCTGAGAAAATTGAAACAATGGTCAAGTCCTGGGACTTGTAACATTTGTTGTCCAGTTTCAGAACTGTTCCCATGCAGAGGGATCAGCATATACGTCACCCGTCTTTTATTTTTTTCTGGTTTATTTCTTTATATCTGTAGCCAAGATTTTCAGGAGGTCTCACCCGATCAAACCTGATCTCTATTAACTTTGAAGGAATCCACAGCCTTTCATTTCCTGTTGAAACAAAATCATAACCTCTCCCCCAATGCAATACATTTTCTGAATTCCATCTTAAAGTTGACATCCCTAAAATATCTAGGCTGGTTTATTTCAGCAGTTCCTTTTACAATCCCATGTCTCTTAGCAGCGGTCATGTGCTCATCAGCATTCATAAAATTCAAAGTCAGCACAATACCATACAGGATCCAGACCCCTGTATATTTCCCATCTTTACGTGGCTTTTCCCCTTTATATTACTTTATTCTCTCTTTAAAGACTTTATTGTTTTTAAACTATTGATTTTTTTCCTTCGACTATCTATCTATCCCCATTTTCTTATATTTATTAAATGCCTATACACATTTTTAAACACACTGTAACCTGTTTAAATTTTTTTTTTCAGTCTGGACCTGCTGCTTTACTGTGTACCTGTGACATTCTCTGACTGTATGAGCCAAACCTTAAACTCTAAGTGGCAGCTAGGCCCTCCACTGTGTGGTTCTGATGGTTGGCTCCACTTCCTCCTTGGATCCATGAGAGCCAAGCCTTAAGCCCACAGGCCTGGCAGAGAGCTGTGTTTAACTGGGAGCTGCATTTAACAGAGGGATGCATTTAACCACCCCAGCTCTAGGAAGTTGGAGCCCACACTGTGGCAGGCGTTTTTCCTTAGTTTATTGTTTCTACTTAACGTCCTGGCTGCT